TTCTAACACCGCTTGAATAGGTTTTGTTATCGTAAACTGATATAAGTGTCGTCGTCTTAATAAATAATAACACAATGCACCAATCTACTTTCGTTGATGGTTAATAAAGTTGGTACTAATGAAATTCCATGGAACCCTTTCAGGACTATCAATGTGCAAAAATATAAAGTCAATAAGCAAAAAAACAGAAAACTATTAGATCTCTTAAAGACAGCATTTTCGAATACACGAAGGTTTCAAGAACAAATAGTAATTCTTTCTTTCAACTGTCAGTAAAGCTAGGTACTAATTAAATTCCATGAAACCCCTTTAGGACTATCGATGTACAAAAATATAAAGTCAATAAGCACAAAAATAAAAACTATTAAATCTCGATCAAGACAAACGAATTAATTTCGCACGCTATATCATTCCAAAGCCAACATTCGAATGAATGAGACTCACGTTGAAATTTCATAACGAGAAAATTTTATCGGGGCTTATTTAAAAATTTTAACTAAGTCCCAGTAAAATTTCACAGTGGACTTCATTTCATTAAAAATATTACATCAAATTTATATACACGTTAAAAGGGACTTTATTGTAGAATTTAATGAAAAATATAAATCAATTTAAAATCTTAATTAATTTTAATATTATTAACTCATGCAGTTATAAATATGAAATGAAAATAATAAAAAAAAATAAAAACCTTGAGTGGGATTCGAACTCTTGACCATAGACGCAAAAATTAGAATTCACCAACGTTACCACTCAGACAATCTTCCGCTGAAAAAAAGAATGCTCCATGCTATGCTATAATTAATTTTTATAATAAAACCGCTTTCATATGCCTCTTATATTATTCCACGGTCAGTTTCGGCATAAAATCTACCATTGTGCCAAATTTCATCAAAATCCCAGACGAGCAATGCGCGGGTTCTCCTTATAAGCGCGTAACATTGATATGAACCACCTTACACTTTCGACGCATTAAACGCACTGCACATAGTGGCGCCAAAAGTATCAGCGTGACGGCGAAATATTAAACTAGGAATTATCCCCACTCCTTTGTTTTGGAGCATATAGAACCTGACTTCCAGTCTAGAATCGTCACTTTTATTTCTGGAGGTCGAGGGACAAGATCATATCTGTCGTAACAATATTGCCATTTGTTGGATAAGGGACAAGCACCGAAGAACCAGTGCCAGAATAACGAAGTACGTAAGTAAGGTTGTAATAATAAAAAAAATTCATATATTTACAATATATTAATTTTGTATGTGGATGGCCCCGGTGTATATATTGGTGATCCCGACGAAGAAACATTGAAACCCAATGGATAACATCAGGAACTCGTAGAAAAGCAGTGCAGTATTGTGAACAAAGTTGCCATCAAATTTATTCCAGGACCAACTTGGCATGATGTCAATGGTGTCCAAATTCACCGAGGTAAATATTAGAGGACTATGGAAAGTACCTTAATTATAAAAATTACGGTTTGCACACTCTCTAAAGTTACTTATGTATTATATATGTACGAGTAAATAATAAGTACGTTTTATTAATTTTACAAATTTTAAAATATATTTTTACATAAGTTAAATCAACTTCTAAATTTCATGTTAATAACAATAATTATTACATATAGTCTACAAGAAATTTATGTGATACGTATAACATATAAATAAAATAATGTTGCATGCATCGAATAAATTTCATATAGATATTATTAATTGTTATTATTTATTATATTATTAAACATACATTAATAAAATGTACTTATGGGTATATAGAAATAAATAATTTTAAAAACAGTTTGTGCAAACCTTGTATAATTTTTCTAATTAAACCAGATTTCATAGACCTCTAATATTTTAACTTTGTATGTTTAGACACCAAAACTATCGACGCACCAAATTTATCCAAAATATTTTTATTAATATTTATTATATATTATTGCCTTACAAAATATCATTTCATTCTTTGTATTTTATAAAAAAGTAAAATCAAAAGTTTTTACTTTGCCCTTGTTTTAAATTTTAGTACTAAATTATTTTTTTGATTCACTTTCAGCATAAGATTTGTATCTTATCCATTTTTAAGATGCATAAAATAGTATTTATTTATATATAATATAAACAAATATATTTTGTTTTAAATGAATTGCAAATACTTCATAAATCCTTGTATATGATTTAAGATTATATTGCAAGGTGCATGTAAGAACGGTACTGGTTTAGTAAATTGCTAATTTTACTAACAAATTCTTGTTTGTATTTTTTAAATTTAATACATATACTAAGGAATGACCAGGTAAATTTTCAATACTTAATTATTAATTGTAAAAACATAGTAAAATATTAAAAATATACTTTGCCCGTATTCGAGCCTAGAAGATACTAAAGCAATAGTGCACGTGCTTCACAAATTGCTAATTTCCAGGTAATTTTGTTTAAAACTGTATGCGATTTTATATTTTTCATTCAGTACATATATATATATATATATATATATATATATATATATATATATTAAAAAATAATCATAAAATAAAATACTAACTCATAATTTATAAATTTCAACAAACTTTCAAAATTGACCCAAAATTCAGTTTAACTTGAGTTACAAACATGTCTCGCGCTACTTGTGTAGTAAGTAAGTCAGTAAGTTGCTGATTTTTTTTGATAAGTTCATTAGAAAAATATCCGAGTTTTATGTCCGATATTATATTTTTGATTTTCGATATTGTTCCGAATATCCAATGTTATATTTTTTAATTTAATTAACAAACGACATTCTGAAGTTTCATGACCCTGGCACAAACAACAAAAACATACCAAATTTTCAATCACACCTTAAATCTACCATATTAATCTTTTATAATCTTACTTTTTCGTCAACCCATGTGTTATATCCAGCAATTTCACTTGTTCCTTGGCGCATTTGCTCAAATTGAATAAGAAGTCTGGATACAAATACACTTTGTGTGTCTTAAATGTAAAATATCACACATTTTCATGATGCGCGTATTCAAATCGCATTGCAGTTTCTAAAATAAAAATAAATAGTAATTGATTTTGATTTTACCAAAATTTTTCCAAAAAATCTATCGGAGTTGGTGTGGGAATGTAAGTTGTAAATTCTATTTAGTATTTATAATATCGTTTGTAAGTAAATTAAAATATCAAATATTGTACTCTTTATTACATTTTTACATATGTTTTGAAAGTCTAGTCTTCAAATGTTTTTGTGCATTAATCTGATCCAGGTATTTAAATGATCTAATCTCAATACAGGGTACCATATTGCTAAATTTTAAGTAAATGACAGTAGGGATTTGTGCATGAGTTCTAATGCGTGTGTTGCTAATCGAACAAATATTTTAGCAATTTAGTAGTTTTGTAATATGTACTGATTTTATAGTGTAGTGTAGTGTATTTAGAATTTTAGACGAATAATTCAAATAGTGATAAAATGATCCTGATTGTTGCTGTTGCTTATCTATTAAGGTAAGCGATGACATATTTATTCGCCATGATATGACCATGATTTCATTTATGTTTCTAAGTAACACTTGTACATTGAATTTATAAGGCATAAAATAAATTTATGTGATAAAAGAACATATTTTGCTATTAAATTTGTATGTAACAATCAGAATAAAGTGAATAAATCTATGAGCTACTGTGAGAACATAATCTAAACAAATCTATAATGTAAAGTAAAGAAAAAAAAGAATAACTAAATTGAATAATAATAATAACAAATGAATAGAAATAATAATAATGAAAATTATAAGAAAAAAAAATAATAATAATAAATATAATAATAGAATAGAACTGCTCCATTGCTCAGTTAACTAATTAGTTAATTAAAATAAATTAATATAAATCCTATGGAATTTTCGTCTTCAGTCTTCTTGAATTAGAGATCCCGAGTAGTGCTGAATCTATGTGGTTTTAGTGTGTTTCCAGTTTTAAGTGATGGTGAAGGCTATTGCTGCTAATTACGTCTACAATATATGGAATGTTAAGATCATTACGGATAGTTTGATTGCTGATGAACCAGGGGGTATCAGCGACTTGTTTCAAAATCATTGTTCGGGCACATTGAATAAAAACAATATTGGACTTACTAGCACAACCCCAAAGTTCAATGCCATAAGTCCAAATAGGCAAATTATAGTTTTGTAAACTAAAATTTTGTTTACAAGTGGTAGTTTTGATTTGAGCCCTAAGGTCATTAGTTGTTTGCTTCATCTGTTTAAAAAGATCCTATAATTGGGTATAAAATTGGCTATTAGGAATTAAAGGTTTTATTTAATTTGGTCACTTTTAGTCAATCACTATCTGACTGAGCAAACTATGAAGCAATTATCTCCATCTAAATTAATATATATGCTCCTGTCAGATTATAATTACATAAGCTATTTATCAAATTTGAGATATAATTTATGAATGAAGGTTATGCTATTTATTTAGAAAGTATTGCATTTGTATTTGCAATGATAAATGGTAGAATTCATTACTTCTTAAATGTTATAACTTAATGGTTTCCATCTTTAAAACTTCTAGTTAAAAACTTTTACTTGAAGGTATAGGTTTGAAGATGTGGTGATTCATTCATTTTTGAATAAAATTATTTTATATTACATGCATTTCATATCGAATCAAATTATTGACTATCAGGTTTTCTCAAGTATTATAGCACTTTTTGTAATAGTTTGATAGTGTAGTGTAATGTAGTCCAGAGTATATAGACAATTAATTAACTTCCCGTAGGATAAGTTATAGTAATGGGCCGAAAGTCAAAAATGAAAATTGTTGCATATCTTGACGTTTCAGCGGTTTCTGAACATTTTGGCATACCTAAAAAAAAAGAATGTGCGTATGTGTGTGTGTATGTGTGTGGAGACAATTTTTCGTCGGTAGACGATTTTGGGCGAATGGATGAACCGATTTGAAAAATTCAAAAAACAATCGATTTATATTGATAGGATGCTGATTAGTTTTTGGCAAAGGCAGGTCCATCGGCTTTGGAGATATGGAGCGGAAAGTGCTAAAATGTCCGCTTTTAAAAGAACGGATCAATCGATTTAAAATAATCGATTCGTAATGATGGGGAGAAGTGGTAATTAGATTTTGGCAAAGGCAGGTCCTACCGTTTTGGAGATACAGGGCTAAATGTGCAAAATATGGCAGTTTTTGAGAGAACTAAGCATCCGATTTGAATGATTTAAAAAACTTTCTGCATATGTTGACAAAACGATTGCTTTCTTGGAAATAATTTTTATTTTTTTTTTAAATTTTCAATCATTTAATTTTTTTTTAATTTTTTTGAATAGTGGCCGTACGTGAGAACTATAGGGGGACGGGGGGTATTAATTTGCTTATTTTTGGTAAGAAATTTGCTTACTTTTGCTGACAAAGGGGGTAGGGGGGAGATAAATAATTGTAATAAATCTGTTTACGTAATACTTGAACGATCCCATATCGAAAAATAATGGGGATTTAAATTCTAACTCTAACCAAAGTTCTAAACACTACTTATATAATCTATTGAAAACATTTAATATTCTTCGAATATTTCATTAAGACACAGGAAGTTCCAGCAAATTCCACCACTAGTTAATATCATGACATTTTCCAGATAGTCCACTAAGGAAATTATAAGTAAATCGTATGATGAACAAAGAAATAAATAATCTTGGGCTACAACCAAAGGTGCTCTTTCCCTGAATACGGCCCTGCCCAGCTGGTACAGTTGTCTAGTCTAGTTGTGTCAGTTGCGGAATCCCTTGTTTCTCGATATGTCACGTTCGGAGCGCCCAAAGTCCTCTGATAATACCTAAAAGGAACGGCCTTGAGCCGACGAGTGGGTTCTGCGTCACAATTCGCCTCTACTTGCGTGTCAAACCATCAATTTACCGACAGGAAATTACTGGTGGACTTAATTGAGATATTCTGTCGTGATAGAATGATTCGGTTGTGATGAATTAATTTATCGTATACTCGAAGTTTTCATTTCCAAAGATATATCAATGATTAATCAGGTTGGTTAAGCGTTTGTCCAAGTAACCTGATGTCGGGTTAAATAATCTAATGCAGAATCATATTGTTTACTTATTTTCTGAACAGAAATAAGAAGTTATCAGTTCTATGAAATGTTGTGATGATATAATTAAAATTTTATCAATGCTGATGCTATATTTTTGATTTTTGATTTGAAAAAGGTCAATTCTCGCTTATAAGAATATTTTAGATCTATATTTTCAAGCAAAAACTGGTGTCACTTCTAATTGATTCAGGTTACGCTTTCTCAGGCTCCACTTTTGTCATATTCTCATCTATTTCATATTATTATTACATAATTTTCATACGTTCATATTTATGCCAAATTAGATCAAAAACAAATTAAATTAATTTTAGTTCAAACATTCTTAATCTTAACAATTAAAATTTAATTATTTTGTATAAGATATAGTTTAAAATGGTATAGTAATAGTACGAGAATTTAAATTTGAATTCACATTGATTACAAAAAAAATAAAAAAGATAATATAAATTACAAAATTCATAATGATAATTCTTCAACATTGTGTGAATTGTGGAACTTGAGAACAATTGAAACTGTGTGACGGAAAATAACTATAACCAAAATTTAATAAAACACTTCAATATTGATATGTACAATACTACTGGATTTTTTGGTTTATAAAATACGGTCAATTATCAATAATTAATCAACTGCTATTAGAATTTTTTTATCCATACATTCCAAAGTTCTTCAGTTTGTTCAAAGAAAGCAGCATGAGTTAATAAAAATCTGTACAGAATGTAATTTAGTTTTTTTCATTAGTTTATGTAATTATATATTTAGCGATATTTAGATAGAAAAGATCTTTTGTTTTTGCACAAGAATGTAACAATATGTTGCTAATTTGTAGCTTTGCTAACTTGCAAAATGAACATTCCTCAAATAATAAATACAGCAAAAAAAATAAACTGGTATTAAATATCCAAAGAAATGGAATATACTGGTATTTTTTCAATAAGTATGAGGTTTTACACTAAGAACGTAGATTTATGTAAAACCTGAACTAACTTTCTTGATGTTATAATTCTTTTTATAAAAAAAACTTGTAAAGAAATAATAATATACAAAATATGTCATTTGAAACTATTGAAATTATTTAATTTTGAATTTGAATATTGAGTTATGTTTCGTGAATATGCCTCGAATATACTATCAAATGCTTTCATTTCATAGTTCATTCATCAGTAATAGTTTATTGATTTTCATATATTTATAGTAATATTATAAGGACTATATTTGAATTTATTTTTAAATTACAAGAAGCTCTTAATTTTAAAGCGGAACATGATCATGTTGAATATTGGACATCTTAATCAAAGACTAACTTAATATTACCCACTAAAACTGCAATAAACAACTTGCAGCAAACATTATCAACGAAATTAACAAGTCTGTTACTTTATTAGGTGATTAAGCGTCTTGCAATTTATTGCAAATGCGCCGCGGCTCTTGGGATAATTTAATATTAACTACCGCTTTAAATTCTTGTTTCAAATTATTCTAATATCTCGTTTTATTATCATAGATGCTGCAAGCTTAGCATAAATAATCGTATCTCACTTCAAATTTATATTTTCGATTTGTAAGCAGTTTTATTTGTTGTAATAAACCCATAGTTGTTCACAACCTGCCCATGTGTTTCCACTATATTGACCGACACCTACGATAATAACTTTGCATTCGCTTTGCTACACATTCATAATTCATATTGTCAGGGATGGATAATATAAAGTACATGCAATATTTAAACCTAACTGAAATTTGAAATTTTGTGAAAGTTGAAAAGTAGTTATTACCAGGTTACAAAAACCTATTGATCCGGTCATGACTCAATGGTTTTGGGTTCGATACCTACTTCGGCCACCTTGATATCAAGCAGTAGTGATGTCAGATTTTTGTTTGATGTTATGTTGAAGATTTCAAATATCACAATAAATGAAAATAGCCTTTCAGGGCATTGCAACAATATACCTATATTATCTATTAGAAATATACCTATATCATCTATTAGAAACTGAGTTGTTTTCTAGAAATATTAGGTAAAGATATATTTTACACACCTTATAGCTTAAAGTTTTCATCGTTTATTGTCTTATATGTTTGTTTGGATTTATGTTTTCAGAGGAGTATCACTTTACAGCATTAAACCACAATAATTTTAAAAGAATATACATCATATGTGACGTACACGTATCTCTCATTAAATGTCTTTATTATTATTGTTTTAAAAAAATCATTTAAGATATTTTTTTTTTTTTATTTATCATTTATTTCTTATAACCAATCTGAACCTTGGGTTCAATGAGGTTATTTGCTAACGGGTACAGGGTATTTAAGATATTGAGATTCTAAAAGATTATTAACTATATAAAAAGAGTTTTTTCAGTGAGCAACCTTTACCAATAGAATTTCT